AAAAAAAAAAAAAAAAAAAAAAAGTTTAAGAAATATAGAATATTTGAAAGAAAGGACACTATTCTGTTCTCCAGCACTGTCATGCAAGTGTGGTGCTTTATAGACTATGACACATCCTTGACCTGTGTGGGTGGTTTCCAGATGAATGGGAGCAATGACTGCAGCCAGCAAGCATAATATGACCCCAAGTCTGTAAAATCTGGCATGAAGTCCCTGGTAGGGACCTCCCATGTCTCCCCACAAGGATCCATACTCATTGGAATCCTATTTTGTACAGTACAGGTGTCAGACCTATGGCCTGTGGGCTAGATCCAGCCCACAGCCACATCATCTAGCCCCCAGCTAGCCCTGGGTCTTGAGTGGACCCACATGCGCTGCACATGGCACGAGCTCCAGGACCTGCACAGCACGTGGCATCCATGCAGGGCCAGTCTGGAAACTCACTTGTATGCCAAATCCAGTGTCTATGGAGCCTGCTCCACCCTGTCTGGGGTGGGCACCACATGCAGTTAGTGCCTGGACCAGCCAGAGCAGGCGCTGGAGCTATCATGTGGGGGTCGTGATAGACCCAGATGAGTTTGACACCCCCATTGAAGAGCATATGGAGAAGAGGAGCAGGACAGAGAATTTTTCTGAAGCCTCTGCCTCCGCATTAGCTTAGCACTTCTTTATGCCAGGACAGCATGTGCAAGTGCATGGGCAATGGCCCTTTGCAGGGCCAATTAAAGGTTATCAGGCTGGGTCTAGTTTTCATGGCTTCTATCCCATGGAGACCAAGAAATAATTTTTAATGGATCCCTAATATACTGGTAACTTACAATTATATTAAATGCTTTTCTTTGTAAACCTAGCTTGTGAATTTATTATTATTGGCATCTGGTATTGAAGAGGAACTGGTATTGATATGACTCCATCTGGGGGGACGTGATGTGCGAGAAAAAAAAAAGTTTTTAAATGAAGCCACAATTTACATCTTTCAGGTGGCCATGTGCATTATGCAATTCCTAGTTTAATCTTTGTTGCCAGGAGAAAGCTATAATGAATGCAGTATTTGTTGAACTGTTATATCAGGTATGGCTGTGATCTTGCTTACTCTCGCAAGGAGTGAGTTCTGAAAATATTTGGAAAAGGAGATCATTAGGAAGAACGTAGGTGCTGCAGGGTGCATCATGGATAATGCCATTTTAGTCATCAGTGACCCAGGAGATTTTTCTAAAGCACATAGAGGAACTAGTTGCCTATTTCATATTGAAAATCAGTAGGAGCTCTGTGCGTAACTTCTCTTTGTGTCTGAAAAATCTTCCTTCCAGTGTCCAGCATGGCCTTAGGCAGTGTCATGCTATTTTTGGATTGAAATGTCCACGTAAAATCCACTTTACTCAATAAGATCTAGTGTCACTTTTATAAGTGCCCCAGCCAAATTCTCCTGTATTCTGGGCATTGAAATTGGCCTGTTGCTTTGAATGGAAATGTAGTTTGGCTTTCTAAAGAGCTGCTTTGTGTCACCAGTATAATAGCTGCTGCTTTGTACCCCAAACAGTACCTATATTTCGGTGATGAGTGATATTACATCCTTGTATGTGCCCTTTTCTAGTAATACTATGAGAGGATCAATGAAGTTCTGTGGTGTGTAATTCTGTGAAGAGCACCGGGGCTGCTGGGAGGTCTTATATAGATCTGTATAACACAATATAATACCTAAAATGCTGCAGCTTAAGTTGAGTGACTATAACAAAACACTCATGCCACAAACTTCATTTCTTTTTCTGTGTGCAGGATATTTGTGAGTATATTAGAGACTTTCCAGATATGCTCGTTAGTCAATAACTCACAAACCAATAACTCTTTTGGGTTTGATGTGGTATTAGTTTTGTTCCCTAGTGTGGGGTGTTTGGCATAACAAACCATCAGAGGAAACAGTATCTAATCTGAAACTGCAGTCAGAGTTCAGTTGCTGGTGCTACCCAAAGTTTTCAGCTAACATTTCACTTTTCAACCTGCTCACTAATAGAGCTCAACTGGCATTCTTCAGGGAAAGCAAACAGGAAAAAGTGTGGACTTCGTCCACTTATCACTATTTATTATTTAAATTGCAGTAGTGCTTGGAGGCTTCAATCCAGATCAGGGCCACATTGCTGTAGACACTATACAAATTTATGGGAATATAGTACATCTTCCTAGTGTGAACACAGTGATACCAGGATATACCAGTGTCACTTGTTCCCATGTTGGAAGAGAAATAGGTATCGCTGTGTCCACACTCAGATTTTTTTACCTGTAGAACTATTTCAATTAAAAATATATATATATATATATATATATATATATATATGCATCCCTAACTTGTAAAGGCAGTAGTCAAACTTGCAAGTATAAACTAGACATAAGAGTCTTTTGCTCCAGAGGAATTGACAATCTAAGTAGGAAAAGTAAAGACTGGGGAAAAAGAAATACCATTATTATGATCTCCATTTTATAGACGGAAACTTGGGATACAAAAAAATTAAGTCTATTGCCTAAATGCAAGCGGGGAGTCTGCGGCAGAGCTGGGACATGAACCGTTATCTCCCAAGTCCCAGTGTACCATCCTAACCATCTTTCCTCCTGTCCACAGCAAAACCATTCTCGTGGCCATGCAGAAGTCTTTTCACTTACCTGTAGCTCCAGGATTAAACATGACTAATAACTGCCACAAGCAAAGGTGAAAGTAAATGATGAAATCTAAAGATCTCTAAGGAAACAGCTTTAGGAGTTTGAAATTAGTTGTAAAAGTATGTGGGAAATTACCTTTATCACATTTCTGCAACACCAGGAGCCTTTTGTTAACACTGAGAGATAAGTGTGCGGTAGTATATTAAATAAAGTCAGACGTTTTTCTCAGCATTCAGCTGCCCTTTGCATTTTTCTGTATTGTTTGTTTGAAAAGTAGGCTGGGTACCACTGAGCACTCAGCAGAGTTTATCTTGTGAGGTCAAGAGGATTTTAAACAAGCAAGAGGAGGAGGAGAACGTTCATGGCGCCCTGCAGGTTTTGTTGGAAATAAGCAGCAAGAGCTAACATAGTTTTGGTAAATTGGCCCTCAGCATTGTCAAAAATACAAAATACTCCCGTCCACAGAGAGCAAAACTCAGGACACTGAAGCAGGAGAGGTTGAAATGCCGGGTGGAATTTAAACATACAAACAAGTTACCACAGGGCTGAAGAGATGAGATTTCACCACACATCAGCTCTTTGGCAATGACTGCTTGCAAGCAAATGCTTATTCCACGGTAGGTGGGTATGGATCTCCTACCCACGGTAACTCTCCCTGTTTTCATTGAGATCTGAGTTACCATGACTTAGCCACTTTATGTCAGACACCTGGCACACGGGGTAACAAAACTAAGTGATGATAACTACTAACCGCAAGATAGGAGCACACCTGTGTGCAGTTCCTGCTGAGCAGCTGACGTGCAGTGACATCCCACCCCATTTTATCCTGCAGTATATGGTTGGTGTATGTTCAGACTCGGGATCAAGCCAAATCACAAACCCAGGCAGCTTTTAATAGGTAATGGGCCACGTTTTTCACCCTATTACTTTACTTGGGTTGCATGGGGTGAAATTTGGTATAGAACTTGGTCTTTTATGAGTGAGATGGTGTCTCCTCCGCCTGTGTATTGTCTCACTTTGTCCCAATTCGGTCACCTTCAGACTTATCATCTCATTCTTCTTCCCCAGGACTGGTCGCAGTGTGAGGCTCCCTGTCCTTATTTCCTTATCTAAGCAAGCTCAACCCTTATCTCCCTGACCCAGTATTCCCCATCCTGGTTTGGTGTCTTCCCCTCCCTAACTTTGTAAGACTTTTCCTCCTCCATTATGCCTGAGTGTTGGCAAAGGGAGACATAATGTCCCTGATGTCAGTTCTGGTATGTGGCATGACAGCAGCCCTCAAGTTATGAGAAACCTGAAAGTGGTTTTATAATGAGAACCTTACAGCAGGGAGAGATCCTTATGCTATCTATATAATGTAATCTCACTGGTCACTGTGGCCCCCATGCTTTACCTGCGACAGGTTAGGGTGGTATGTCTGATGGTTGTGTCCAGGCTGACTTGATCGCTTAGGTGATAGGTTAGACCAGGGGTCAGCAACCCCCGGCACGCATGCCGAGCATGCGCGCGAGGCCACTTTGGTTGGCACGCCACCGCCGGGAGGCAGCAGGGTTTGCAGCTGGGAGGCTGCAAACCCTGCTGCAAGCAGACCCGGCTCCATGGGCCCGCTGCAGCCCGGAGGCTGCAAACAGCTGCTGTGGCATGTCGGCACTGCGGCACCTTCCAAGGGTAGACATTGTGGGTTTCCTCAGCACTCTGGCCAAAAAGCATTGCCTACCCCTGGGTTAGACAATGGATTTGTATAGGATGGCTTGGCTAGGAATAATCCTGCCTAATAATCAGGCAGGGGGTTGGACTAGACCTATGGAGGTCCCTTCCAGCTCTGTTTCTCTATCACTCTATGATTCTCACTGCCAGATTAGGAAGTAAAACCTTTGCTTAGTGAAACAATTTTAACTTCAGAAAATTAAGTTACACATATTCAGCCTGTGAAATAAGTTGCAGAGTCGTTTTCAGTTTTACAGGTTCTTTGCTATTTGAACAGACTTCTGGTCTCTTTATTGCTAGCTTGAGATACGTTCACGCACTGTACTGTGCTTATGTGATCAAACCTGCTTTCCTATAAATAAACAGCTCTCTTTCCTTTTCAGAGATTTGAAGCCAGAAAACATCCTATTAGATGATTATGGTAAGTCTGAACAGTTTAAAGAGATGTTTTCACAGCAAAGTAGCTTTAGTTAGTTTTAGGTTACATATTGTACAAAGGCAAATAAAGCTCTGAAGTGAGTGAGAGCCTTGGCACATACTAATGTGTGTGCCTTGGGGTGTGTAACACAAGAACTTTGCACAATATTTACTACGGAACGGCGGAAGCCGCACTCAAGTTCTGCAGTATTCTTGATCTGGTGGCCTGTTCAGTAGTGGAGCCACCTTTTCCATTGTCTCCCCTGCATGATTGGTAGGAGGCTTCCACAATACAAAAGAAGTTGTGATACCTACATCGCTGCACTTCTTTTTCTGAGATACTTTGCCCTCTCTTCAGCTCAGTTTTCTTTTTATCCAAAACTTTGAAGTCAATACAAGATATTTCCATGTCCTCTGTGATTTATTGCTGACCTAATCTCAAGCAAAGAGGACTAGTCTGCAATCTCATAAACTTGACCCTTAGGATTTTTTTTCACTCCCGTTTAACTCAATCCATTCTTGGTTATATTATTCCCCTTAAAATAATATGATTCCTTTCTTCCTTAGTGATTAAAATATTCAAATTCCATGTTTCTAGCATTATTTCCTCATAATAGTAGGTTATTGGCGATGCTTAGGGGGTGCACGTGGGTGCACATGCATGCCCTGAGATTGGCCGTGCCGCCGGAAGTGTACTTCTGGTTTCGCTGCTGGCTCGGCGATTGGCCGCTGGGGGACTCCTCCACCACCACGGGGTCAGCGATCGACTGCTGGGGGACCCCCTCACCCTGGGTCAGCGATCAGCCGCTGGGGGACCTCCCCACCGAGTCTGTGATCAGCAGCTGGGGGACAACCCCCCTCCCGTCGGCGATCTGGTGCCCCTCCAGACTCAGGAGGCACCAGTCGCCCATGTACTAGGTGAATGAAAAGCATCTTCCAGTAAGAACAGCATTTGTGTGTTTAGCCATTTTAGGGTTATTATGCTTGCTTTTCTTTCTCCAGGTCATATTAGAATATCTGATTTGGGTCTAGCGGTTAAAATTCCTGAGGGTGAATCAATCCGTGGAAGAGTAGGGACGGTAGGGTATATGGGTAAGTTTTTATTTGCTCGTTTTATTGGCTATTTACACTGACTGTTGCATCTTGGAGATTCTTCTAACTTGTGCAGAATAAATGAACTTTCAGGAAACTGTGCCACAGGACTGGAACCAACAAAGGATGACTCTGACATTTTGACCTTCCCAAAGAGAGAGGAGTGCTGTACCTGTAAAAGGGAAAGGTGTCTTTCTAGTAGAGACTGAGAGACTCTACATCAGTTAAAGAAAAAGTGTGGGAGGCAGAGTGAATAAGGCTATTTGTATCTCTGTGTTAATCGATAAGCAAATATGCACGCATCTAACAACATTAAGTTCCTAAAACCAGTTTAGTCATAACAGTCTGTGAATAGGTACTTAGAAAATTAAAGTGGCTTAACTGATTTATCTAAAGTTAAGTAGCTGACTTGTTACTAAACCAAATCCATGATAAATAACACTTCATCTTATACCAATATACACAATGTTATACCAATGTATATGGGTATTCTTATAGCATTATACAGAAATTGTGCATGTTCATGTTCAGAGAGTCAGTGTGCATGGCTATGGGGGTGAGAGTGTAGAGTTGAGTATATCTCCAACACACAGCAAATGTGTTGTTGTTTCTAAACTGAAAAAAATAAACCAACTGAAAGGACTGATTGTTATGTTATGTAATTTCATCTTTCTCCACATAATACATTTGTCTGTAATTTCTTTTTTAAAAATTAAGGTCTTGAAGAATTCTTAGATTGGATCAGACAAAAATATTTAGCTTTCACTATTTTTTTTTTATTCCCATCTGACTTTTTATATATGCAGCTACATGAATAGCCTCATTCTTTAATTACAGCAACTCAGCTAGCAGAAGCCAGGAGGGACTCTTATATTGTACCCACAGTTCTTTGCAGTTGTGTAGTCACTGATAGAGATGAGTGTTAGGGCTTTTAGTTATTTGTCAATGTAAATGTCAAGTGTTTACACAAAATGTGTCTTCCTCCTTCACAGCCCCAGAAGTCTTGAACAATCAGAGATACACTCTCAGCCCTGACTACTGGGGACTCGGGTGTCTCATTTATGAAATGATTGCTGGACAATCACCGTTTCGTGGAAGGAAAGAGAAGGTGAAGAGAGAAGAGGTGGACAGGAGAGTCCTGGAGACGGAAGAGGTTTACTCCCATAAGTTTTCTGAGGAGGCCAAGTCTATCTGTAAAATGGTAAGGGTTCATTAGTAGGCTATAGCCAACATTATCCAACAAGGCCCCACATAGTATATAACTACATCTAATGGGGAGCAAAACCCAACAGTGGAGTTACCCAATCACTTGTTTCCAGGATGACTGCGTTCACTGTTCATCCAGCCTTTTTTTTACTTGGACTTGTTATTTTAATGATATCTAATCATCTAGCATTTATCCTTCAGGCCCCCAGGAGTCATTCTTTCAAACACAATGGGCATTGCTGCCAATGGAAATACCCAACCCCATAGGAGATCTCCAAGCCATGAGAGAGTTAATCAGTGCCATTCCAACGTGCATCTTTGGAAGGCAGACTGAACTTCAGCTTAGACAAAAGGGCTGTCCTATCTTTGATTTCTCTAGTGTGTTGTTCTCTGGAGGGAATGACAAGATGATTCCACTCAGTGGAGACAGAGAAGGAAAAGAAAAGGTTAATCTGGGGAGTTTCACCAATACCTTATGCAAGAGACAGGCCAGCAGCATCTTAGCTACGTTCTGATTGTGGCCTTGGCTAAGAGGCACTGAGGTCTCCTTGCAAAATACTGCTGGTAGCACTGTCAAGGATCATGTCTGGAAGTCATTATGGTAATTCACACCACACAAATCCAGTCTCAGATTCCAAGGATGGTAATTAGCTGACATCACTCCTGATAGATACTCCAGGCCATATACTCTTCTTGATCTGCTTGCATAACTCCTACAGATGTCAGTGGGAGTTGTGGGCAGGGATCAAGGACAGTATGTGGGCCCCTAATGATTATTTCATGTATGCAAGCAGCCTGCTTGCTTCTCACAAACCATATTTTGGCTAATGACAGGTAGCAAAGAAACCCTGCTGGTGTCATTCATGTGCCATGCAACATTACATTTCTGTACCAAACAGAGCCCTCAAGCTTGTCATAAAGAAATGGACAGAAGACAAAAAATATTCTTCCTGCTGCTTTTGCAACTAGTCGAGCAGTGATTCTCAACTAGGATGCCACAGGACCCTAGGGTGCCTTGAGATCCTTTCAAGGGTGCCACACAATATTAGCACTGTTAGACTTTTACAGATATGATTCACAAGATAAACCCAGAGATTTCAAATAGAAATCAATAGTTGTGGTCTTCCCGAGTTCTTTGCAACAGAAAAACTGCCTTGCTATTTTTCTATAGGCAAAAAGAAAGTGTAAACTAAGAGCTGGCGTTTTCCAAGGGGTGCCTCAAAGCTAAAAAGTTTGAGAACCACTGTTGTTGAGGATTGGAGGTATGGTGGAGTAAAATAGAATAACATGAATATTGTAACTGCTGTTCAGGAAAAGTTAAATTTGAGTAGGACTGAGTTTGGACTGTTGGAGTAGTGATGCAGCTGGCCTAGCTCTGATGTCATACCTATCAGAAATCAGTCAGTTTATGTAGGCTCTAAAATGGATGTCATTCAGATGCCTTACTGTCTCATCAGGTGGCTTGCTTGGGCCTTGTGCCTTTTGCAGTCTCTCAATGGATGGAAAGATAGCTGTTCTTCTGGGAAACTGGAGGAAACTGATACTTTCTAAATTATAAAAGGCAACAATAAAAAAAAACGTACATCTGAAAGCTGTGTAACCCAGGCGGTACTCCAAGAGGTACCCCCTCTCCAATTGAAAGGATCAAAGCAGGTGCACAAGTGCTGTGGGAGGTGTAGGGACTCTCCTCCCCTACAGAGCAGGGCCAGACTACCAATAGGGACTTAACCATATACCTTTTAATACTGGGAACATAACAGGCATAAATCAGAGGATATAGTGGACACTACAATGCCCCAAGGGGCAACATTCAACAAAGGTTAGACACTTACAATCACTGACAAAACAGGGTTAACAAAATATAAAACACAAACAGCAGAACAAACAATACGGGTTGGTGAAATATAAAAAGGCACAAAATGTCAAATGACAAGGAAACATAGGGCCTTGGTACCTGGAGGGGGAGAAAGGGGGAAAACACAATGACCCCTTTCCACTGCAAGAAGATTTGTTTCCTGTTAACTCACTCACCCCAAGTCATCCCTGCTGGGACTTGAACCCAGATCTCCCACATGGTAGGCAGGAACACTGCCACACAGCCACCACTGGTGGCACTGCTCCAGCCTGCGAGGGGTCATGACCTTCCCGGAGCCCTGGCCTCACGTCAAGCTGTCTGGCCTCTGGAGGAGCTGGAAGCAAAACTGGGAACCCCAAAGGTCACTGCTCAGATCCTGGCTGGAGCGGGGGAGCCTCTCCTGCTGGCTGCAGCCTCTGGTAGGGGATCCTGGAGCCAAGTGGGGAGCCTCTCCTGCCGGCCACACACTGCGCAGCTGAGGGTACCACTGCTACCTGCAGTCCTGCTCTTTCAGGCTCTTCCAGGGCACTGCTCCCACCCCACTGGCTCAGCTCTTGCCAGCTCTGTGAGGCTCATTCCTTGTTGTCCCTCGCTGGTCTGTCCCCTGAGTCAGCCCACGCTGCCCCTTTTATCCCCCACCAGGTGACCCAAGGGACCAATCAGGGGACACGGGGGGTGAGTCTCTGGGGCCTGATTGGTGCGGAAAGGGAATCCTAAGTCCTCCAATCATCTTTTGCCCTTTCAAAACCCCTGGGCTAGGTCACTGCCAGCCAGCCCGTCACAGTTGCATGTTACTGATTTTATTCTTTTCCTACCACTCTTCACAATGCAGGTGGTTTCCTTGGATTATAAACTCTTTCAGGTTGGGTCCATGTCTTTGGATGTGTTTTCTCAGGCATATCCTCATGGAGGCTTTTGGCTGTTGAAATATAGCTGCTATTATTTACATTAGGCCAGATACAGCAACAATTATTTAAATGTCTCGTTGTTCCATCAAGTGACATGTTTGTGTGTGTGGTTTTGCAAATACTTGACAAATCTAAAGATAATTCTGTCCTTTGGGTTCTGGGACTACGGGCTATCAAAGCATTTTGGGTATCAAAACAGGTGCAATGGAATTTGTAGCTGCTGTCTTACCTGTTATTTCTGTTCTCCTGTGGTACAGTTAAGATTGTATAATTTGGACATCCAAGTTTTTAAGATTTTCTTTCAAACTCTTTGGCTGATTATATAAGAGCGCAAAACCGACTGGTCTTCTCTGCTGCATGTGTGATACCAAACAGTTACAAAGAGGGTAACAATAAGCCTCCATCCTACCTGCAAATGAGGCTCAAGCCTTTAAAAATTAAAAATGGAAAATTCCCCTTGGATCATCTTACCCTCTTCCTGGCCCAGAGCAAGAGGTTTTCCTGCAGTGTGTCATGCAGTTGTGTATTCTTACATGGGATGCAGTCCCATTTTAAGCTTGTCTTACCAAGATCCACAAATGTGTGTTGTCTGGTTTTAAACCATTCAAATGATAAGCGGTGGAGCTTCTCATAGAGACGTAGGGCTGGAAGAGACCTGCAGAGGTCATCTAGTCCAACCTACGGCCTGTGGCAGGAACATCTCTATCCAAATCATCCCATACAAACCATAATCTAAACTCTACATAAACCCTGACACAACACAGACCTGACACCCTAATCTGCCACAAGTAAAGCAGGAGAGCAGCCAACATCCTGTTTCTTTGAAATGTTGTCAATATAGGCCCATAAGATCCCAGATAAAGGGCCATGCTCCCTGCTACAAAGGAAGGCAAACCCCCCCCCCCACAGTCTATACCAGTCTGACCTTTAGAGGTTATGCCATAATCTAATAGCCTCACTGTTAGGAAATGCAATGCACCTTTGCTTACTTTCATCCTGCTCCTCCCTTTGCATCACATTAAATAACGTCTCCCTTCTGGACGCTTTCACCCTTCGCATGCTTGTAGGCAGATATCACAGCTCTTGTTAGTCATGGCCCATCCAGTTTTTTGTGTGTCATTCTTGTAATGGTTGCAGTCAGCCCTGCAGCTTTTTCTGGACTGAAGCAGAGATGAATAATAGATCATTAGGAATGGGCAGCCAGGCTTTATGGGAATCTCTCCTGCCTGCAGTTCCCATATAACCAGAGGTGGTGTTCAACTCTCAAAGCAGAGGCTATGTCAGGTCCCTTCTCTAGCCCCTTCCACCCACACCCTGGATGACTGATACAGACTCAGCCTAGTGGGGTCGGCCAAGAAGTGGGACCCTAGGCAGTTGCCCTGCATATAAATAGCTCCCTTATTTCTTTTTCCATGAAAATTCAGTCTTTCCAGGAAATGCCCGCACTGCTGTACCTTGTTAAACATACATATGTCTCTCTCATTAAACATATATGTCTTTCTCTCCCCCTTGACGTGCACTCCTAATCCCAGGATGTGACCCAGAGTCTATTCAAACAAATGAAGCTGGTCTGTGCTCCTTCTGCATTGCTTTGCCTGTGCCTCTTACCCCAGTGCCTTATTTGCCTGTCTCTCCCACAACCAACTTTGTGCCCCATCCCAATCTTCGAACGCCGTGTCTCAGCTGCTGGGCAGGGAATTGCCCTTTTCTCTTTGGAGCCCCTCAAGACCCAGTTGTTCTGTGTAACGTAAAAGAAACTAACTAGCAAAATCCTATTTGATTCCTTTGAAAACTTCAAGCTCATCTTCCCCCTGCCATGCCCTAGAGCAGCGCTGCCCAAACTTTTCCTCAGCATGGACCCCATTTATGGCCCCGTTTCCTCAGTATGGCCCCTCACTCCCAACCCACAGCCGCCCTCACCCGCAACCCTGTCTGCTGATGTTGTGACCCCATGTGGGGTTGCGACCCGCAGCTTGGGAACCGCTGCTCTAAAGTAACAAGGAGTAACCATGTCATTTTGTTGCTCTAACCTCTGCCTTTCTTTTTATCCCGCAGACTGTCTTCTTACAACTTCGTTATGTCAGCTCTGTTATTAGCTTATAAATGTCTCCTGTGAATAATCCCCCACATTTTGAGGCACTCTGAAAAATTGCTTTTATTATTAAGAGGAATGGGATCATCTGTTCTGCAGCGTTGCCCAAACTCCATGCGTCAGAAGGAGTTTTGCTTCTT